AAATTATATAATATATGTCAAAATTATATAATTTATATTCCCTATTATCTACTTCTGATATATATGTATGTACATGTATAGCTCTCTCTCTCATTTTATTTCTATCTCTCCTTCTTTTTTACTGTCTCGTACTCTGTTTCTTTTTTTCTTTCTTTCTTGTTCGCCCTCTCTCTTTCTGTCTCTCTGTCTATCTGTCTCTCTACCTAGCCTGCGATCGGTATCTATCTATGTAACTCTCTGTCTCTCATTCTCTCGGTGTCTTGATTTCTGTCTTTCTTTCTTTCTCTCTTTCTTTTATTCGTTCTTCCTCTCTGTTTCTGTCTGAGTGTTTGTCTCTCTGTTTTTCTGATTTTTTCTCTCTCGCTCTCTCTTTCTTTCTTTCTCTCTCCCCCCCCCATTTATTTCTCTCTGTCTCTCTCTATTTCTTTCTGCCTGTCTCTCTCTCTTTCTCTCTCTTTCTCTCTGTATCTCTGCCTCTGTCGCTTTTTCTTTCTATCTCAGTCTCTCTCTTTCGTGTGTTTGCACGTGTGTTTTTGTACTAGTAGACCGCCACCCTGCTACCCTAGGTTCACCTGCTGTCTTCCTCTGCTTGTAGAGCAACGAGGAGGAGATGCTGCTCAGGGTAGAGAAGGAGAACAACCTGCAGAGTCTACAGGAAGAACTCGACTTCCAGAATCAGCTTCAGCAGACTGTGAGTTTCCGTTTACTTCTTCTCTCTCTCTCCTTACGTACGTATCTCTATCTTACAGACCATTAAGGAGCTACTGGACCAGCTCTCCCTCTCTCTCACACCCTTCTTCCTCCCCTTCTCCCCCTCTCCCCCTCTCTCACGTACATCTCTCTATCTTACAGACCATTAAGGAGCTACTGGACCAGCTCTCCCTCTCTCACACACCCTTCTTCCTCCCCTTCTCCCCTCTCCCCCTCTCTCACGTACATATCTCTATCTTACAGACCGTTAAGGAGCTACTGGACCAGCTCTCCCTCTCTCTCACACACCCTTCTTCCTCCCCTTCTCCCCCTCTCCCCTCTCTCACGTACATATCTCTATCTTACAGACCGTTAAGGAGCTACTGGACCAGCTGACTCGTGGCGAGGAAGACGAGGACATGAAGCGCCTGTTTAAGAACGAGCTTACCCTAGCTATCAGAGACATCCGCGCCGAATACGAGCGCATGAACGACGCTGGCCAGCCGGACACCGAGAACTGGTACCGCTCCAAGGTAGAGCACGCACACGCATGTACATGCACACGCACGCATGAACACGCACGCACACGTACACACACACACACACACACACACAGAGCGAGAGAGAGCGAGAAAGCGCGAAAGAGACAGAGGGGGATCGATCAAGCAAGGCAACGAACATCTTATCTTGCA